AACCGGCAATTTTGACACCTACTGTGCTAGGCAGAGTGCTGTGTGGCTTAGTAGGGAGGGGGCTAAGAGATTCTAAATGCAAACCCTAGTTATCATCCTCTGATGAACTGTCCTAGCTTGTTTCCACCTCCAAATTTCAACCCGTTCTTTTGTGAACTTGATTTAGTGAGTTCTTACCTTGCCCAGTGTCGATGGGTCGGTGTTGATGGGCGACCTTTTTCGGAAGCTGCCTCTCCTCCTGCTATTGCTGGGACTGTCAGATGGAAAGCTGCATCCCACATTTATAGACCAACGTCTCTAGGGGAAGTGATCAGACATGAAGGGACCCCATTCAAGTGTGCTGATAAGGGAGGTGTGATACAGGCTGATTTCCAAGATCAGCACCTGCTAATGGTTGTGACATTTGCCAGTATCTTTCCGAGAGATGTTCATGGTGTCTGGAAATTTTTCAGAGGGGTTAGCCCGACCAGGTACTCTCCCCTTCGTATTTTAAATCTTCAAAGGCCTGTTATCCCTGAGTCGTGTGGGTGCTGGTTGAATGGCAGAGTAGAACAGGTGCCAACTCATTGAGAGCCCTTTAGTAAAGGTGCCAGTGCTGTACCCTGTCCAAGGTTGGCACTCAGCATTGAGTGACCGATTGAAGGGTGGGGACCTGAGGGAGAGGGCATGGGGTCACTTTGGACAGGGTATCTCTCTGTGGACATTTTATATCAGGTGCGTGCGATAGGAAGTATCCAAACATACAAAGATTTAGGAATAAAGTGATGGATGCAGGAGGATTGGAAGGTACACAGTGTCTGAAGTGGGCGAGAGCCTGAATGCAGGCCTGGGGATTGTAAGCATGGCTGTCCCATAAATTGCTCAGCCCCGTTCCTTTCCCAGATTGCCTCTGGGATGAGAGTGAAATGTTTTCAGACGTTTGCTGTCCTTCCATTTCTATTTTAGAAATTTTAATCTCTATGTGAGGCTCCCTCTCACCTGTTCTTTATTTAATGGCTCCCAAAATTCTAGAGCGCATTCCCTGGGCCTCAGGCTTTCCCCTATTGAAGAGGTTGTTCTCAGTCATCTGTTCCTACCTCTAGGATCTTTGTGATTTTGTGCACCCTGTCACCATCTGGCTGTGCGGTGTATCACAGCTTTACAAAGCAAGAGTGTGGGAGAAGGAGATGATTTTGACAGAGCATGGCTAATGTCTGCTTCTGCTCACTTGACGTGGAGGCATTGGTTTTGGTTCCTGCCTTCAAGCAGGCTCAGCATGTGTGCTGCCTGGCCTTTGCCAACCCCACTGAGGTTCTCAAACTGTGGACGTCACATGTAGTTCTGGTTGCCAAAGGCCCCATTTTGGGATTTGCTGAAATGTCAGATGCATAGAATAAACAATAGTTGACCTTTTCCCAGAGACTAGAACCATGGGTTTTACACGTGATGATAAGGAAGACAAAACCCAACTGTCCTGGATCTTATTTTTCTTGGACATTTGAGAGAAAGTGAGTGATCCTTTAGTTGAAATTTGTGACACCCATTGGTGGGTGTGGCCCTTGATTTTGCTAATGGTTGCTAATGGTTTCTCTGGACCCAAGGAATGAACCCTACTCCAGGCGTTGGGAGGGGCACATCCGGGATGTAGCCTTTGAAGGCCCCTTGGGGCTTCCTGGTTCCTTGTCTTTCTCTCTCCCTCAACCCTAGGAGGTGGGGCAGCCATTGACTTCTGCTAATCCAGGACCCACATGAGCGGTTTCTCAGAAGGTGGCTTAGCAGGCTGAGCACTGGGGCTCCCTTGTTGTCAAGCCCTAAGTGCTAAGTGATTTGACCTGCTGACTCTTGAAAGGGAGGGTCCTTTCAAGGCTGGCCAAGGCTTAGCTGGATCACAGTTGCTGGTGATAATGCAGATACCAATTCTTAATTGCCTCTGGGTGAAGGTGTCACCGTAGCCCAGCTGAGCCGGGGTGTCCTGGTGACAGAGGCATCAGAATTTTGACCTTTCCTTGTTTGTGTTTGTGTGTGTATGTGTGTGTGTGTGTGTGTGTGTGTGTGTGAAATACACACGTGTGTATGCATTTGTACTTTATCTGTGTACATGCTTGTCTGTGACTCTCTAGGTCCCTCAGCAGTCTTTTCAGACTCCTGCCTTGGTTTCCTTCTCTGGTGTAATCAATCTCAGATCTTTGTTGGTATTGGGAGTTCACAGGGCCTCTCACAGCAAATAAATCTGTGTTCCTGAATTCTCTGGAGTTGGTGTAAAAGTTGGGTTAATTTTTATTTCTAAGGGTACATATCTCTCATGCGATTTTTTAAAAATTTAAATTCTTTATTGTTTAAAGTATTACATAAGTCTCCTTCCCCCCCCTCCCACCCATTGACCTCTTCCCGGCCATCCCCCAGCACATGCCCTCCCCTCCTCCCCCCATCTGTATCCATTGGTTATGCTCATATGCATGCATACAAGTCCTTTGGCTGATCTCTAACCCCCTTACCCCCTGCCTTCCCTCATAGGTTGGACGGTCCGTTTGATGCTTCTATGACTCTGGTTCTATTTTTGTTCATCAGTTTATGCTGTTCATTATATTCCACAAATGAGTGAGATCATGTGATATTTATCTTTCTCTCATGAGGTTTTTAATGAGCCTTGTGTTTTATTAAAGGTGATAAATCAGTGTTGTGGGGAAGGCAGAGTTCCTGTGCGCAGGGTTTGGGGCCAGACAGATGTGTGTGTAAATCTTGGTTCAGTGTGTGGTGCCTTGGGACATTATCTAATAATTTTCTCTGGATTAGTTTCCTCATCCATAAAGTATAGATAACATTGTCCTTATTATAGGATTGTCATGATGATTAAAGCAATTAGCATATATTTGGCATATGTGAGTATTCCATAATTTACTGTCATCATCATTTATATTACTTACCATTGGGTCAGGTATTTTCAATTGTTTTGCACCTTTCTCTCAGATTTAATACCATTTCCCTATCAATATGGTGTACCTAGATTTTGGCAACTATTACACCTTGTTTACAACAAGAAAATATGATGTTTTGTGTATGCTTCTTTACCTTCAAAACATATCCTTCCCAATGCTTTTACCAAAAAGAAGGCAGATATAGAGACATTTTAACCTTGCTCTGAAGTTTATATTTTCAGTGGGGGATAGAGTGTGATACATTCTACTACACCTATGCATGTATATATACCTCGTTATAGATGTTTAAGAGGTTTGAAAAGGCCAAGAATTTAAGACATATTTGCAGATGTCTGTGTGTAGGCTTTGTTCCTTTTTTACCCAATTTCCCCACTGATGTCCACATTCAGTGTTAGGTCTGTGGATTCTGCTTTGGAAGTCAAAGTGGAGTATGTGTGGGCCAAGAGGTGCTTTTCATTCATTCCCAGAAGGGGAAGTGGCTGATGGGCACTTCCTTTTTGCTGCTTCTCTTTGAGCACCTCCTGCTGGTTTGCCATTCACTGGCTACACATTGCTGCTAGTTGGCTGCCCGGCCTGGCAATGGGGCCACTGCACACCCTGTCAGGCACCACCCAATGCAACCCGGAGACTCAAAGTCAGACTGCAGAGTGAGATGCACTTGTTAGAGTCATGCGGGGAGTGAGGGCCCCCCTGGCCGGAGCAGAGGCTCTCTCCTGCCTGGACAGTGAGCCAGGGCCTGCCCAGCTTTCCTCACGGTCCTGAGGAAATGGCATTCGATCATTTCTACCATGGGCCAGGCACTGTGCTCACACACAGGTGGGGAAATTCTGGGCTTGGGGTGGCATTCAGCTCTTCTCTGGGAAAGTGTCTCCCAGCCTTAGTTTCATCTTAGGTGTGTTTCATATACACACCAAGGGCTGGGAGACTTTGTGAGACCAACGTGCAGGGCTGTCCTACCCTCTAGCTCAGAGACCCCTTGGGGGCTGCTGGTTGGGGATATTTTTTCTTCAATGCTGGGCCTGTGGTTCATATTTAAAAAACAGGTCCTGAGGCAAGTAGTGAACCTACAGCATGGTTTACTCTGGACGCCAACCTCCTACTACAGGACAGGGACTCTGCACCAATCCTTGGGTGTCCCTCCATGGTTTGGGCTCCATGGTGGAAAATTGGCGCTTAGGAGGGCTTCGCCTGTAACTCCTCCATCTTCCTGAGGCCAGCTGGGGTTACCGAGGGAGCCAGACACTAGTTCATTCCCAGGGCAGAGTCCACCCTAAGCCCCCATTCTGTCTGTGGTGGGCATTGTATGACAATCCTAAGTTTCTCCTCACCCACCTTTTTCTGGGGCCAGGCCTACCTTATTATCGGCTTTGGCTGGTGCCTATCTCTCCAAGCTTTGCCATCTCTCCACACTTGGCAACCATGGGGCTGCTTTCATCTGACTGCAAAGCCCACTGGTTCCCTGCCCTTCTCTGCTCACAGCCCTGCCCTGCCGAGGCTACATGGGACTGAGATGTTGGTGGGAGGGGGAGCTTCAGGCACTGCTGTTGGGCACAGGAGAACTCCACTGCTGCCTGCCACACTCTGCAGGGCCAGGGAAGCTCTGAGGTGCAGCTGTGAGGTGCGGCGTCTCACAGTCACCCACCTGGACCCAGCTTCCCTCTTGGGTGGTCTGGCTGCTTTCCTTTGCCCCTTTCCTCCATACTCAAGGCCTCCCACATATCTTTGAGCTTATTTTCTCAGGGACCCCAAAACTTCTCCTCCCTGCTTCTTTTATCTTGACTAGGGGACCTCTCCTGTGCATGTAGATTTTCCGTGTGTCTTTCTATACCCCACCCTCTCAGGGCCTGGACTTGGGAAACTCAGGCTCCTGGTCCATTTTCTGAGGAACCCTCCCTTCTCCGAGAAACCGAGCACTGAATTCATAATATTCTCTGAGGGGCCAGGGGAAGCAGGAACTATCAGGGAGAAAACCCTTTCTTTGAACATTTCAAGATGGCCTTGCCACCTTCCAGAACCTCTTGGCAAACTCAGAACCAGACTCTTTCTCAAGCAAGTCATCTTTATTGCAACCCAGACTTTCCACTGTGACTGTTGCCATTCTTGGAGTCTCCAGGGTCTGGAGCACTTGTGGCTGGATGGAGGGGTCCTCGGCAAGAACCTATTCCTCTGGAATGGTCAGCAGCATGTAATCCTGTGGGTAGAAGCAGGGCGACGTGGACATCCATCCTACAAACCAGCTCTCCCCGAGGCTGCGTCTGCCTCTCCTGGCGGGGTTGTGTGGGTCCTAAGAACACACCATTCCCCCGTGGCAAGAAGACAGAGCCAGGGACTGACTGGATAAGGGGATTAGTGGAGGGCAAGGAGGGTCTTGGAAATGTCAGCGAGGGAAGGAACAGACTGGCTCCTGATGCATTGGGGTTCATCCTGCCGGGTCACCCTGAGATGGATCTGTCACCAGGCTAGAGCCTTCCACATGCTCCCACCCACAGTGCCCAGACCTCTGCTGGGCCCGCCCATGCTGCTGGAATCCAAGTGCTCCTGCCTGCACCTTCTTTTCCACCAGAATGGGAGCTTCTGGGGGGTTCAGGGACTGGGTTTAATCCACCTCTTTGTCCCAGCATCACTCAGCACAGGGCCAGGCACAGAGCAGCCAGGGACACATATTGCCTGGCTGCATGAGTGGTAGTGAATGAATGAGTGACAGGGAAGCCAGGGAAGGATGCACAGCTTGAGCACTGCCCACTTCTAGGTGGTGCCACTCATGGGAGACTACAGGAGGAGCGGTGATACAACCTGCAGTGTGCACCTTGCACAACGTGCGAGGCGGCTTAGAAGTGAATCGATGAGTGAGCCAATGAGCCCAACCCACCGTCCATCCCTTTGCCTCTACAGGTCTGGCTCTGATGTGAGACAGCGGCTGTGGCTGTGCCATGACTTTGCCTCTCGGAGCCCTAATTCACTTGTTTGTAAAATGGGACAAGTCACAGCATCAACTTCATGGAACTAATTGTGACGACCACCTGTGTAAGGCATTGGTCTGGCCTAAGGTCTGGCTCCCTGAGGGATTCGTGTAGCCCCTCAGAGCCTCCGTTTCTCATCTGTAAAGGGGGCATCACCCCCAGGATGGCTGTGAGGAGACGGTGAGTTAAGGAAGGTGAAGGGCTTGCCACATGTGGTGCCTCCTATGCCCCGGCCTCAGCTTCTGCCTCAGCAGGACAGGGACCAAGGCGATGCTAAGGCCCTTCTAGCTCTGACCTCCCAGTGTGTCTCCAGAAGCTTCTTTACCCAGCATTTACCTCAGAGAGCTCCACTCGGGCCTTGTTGAAGGAGAGGCCCTTGATACGGGGCAGCGGGAGGTGCTGTTCACTGAGCAGCTCTGTGAATGGGATGGACAAGGAGCTCAGGGTCCTGTGTGTAGGCAGGGGCAGTGTGGGCCAGGCCAGCTGACCCCTGGCTGCTCCAATGCCCAGAGCAGGGAAGGGCCTGGATGTGCCCCTTCCCTTCCCCAGGGAGCATCATCTCCATCCCCTTCAGGCAGCCCCTCCACAAAGCCAGGTCTCTCTAATGCCCGCCCAGTTATTAAAGTCCTGTTTTAAAGGAACTTCTCTCAAACATATTCAGTAACTATGAAAGCCTTCTTACAAAGTTATTCTTCTTAGCACGATTTTAAGGAATGTTCAATATGTTGGAGTCTACTTATGACTGTATCAGTGAATTTTATTATTCTCGTTTAATTGTGAGAAATGGCTGAAAATGCTATACATGCCTGAAAAATGCTAAAACCTTGGTAGAAACAGGAAATGTCTCAGAAAAGGATTAGAAAAAAGTCAGTATAAATTGAAAACTTAACTTTAAAACAGTAGACATTTGATCATATTAATAAGAAAACATCCATTGAAGCCCTGGCTGGTGTTTCTAAGTGGTTAGAGTGTTGGACCCAATCAGGGCATGTGTAGAAGGCAACAATTGATGTATCTCTCTCACATTGATGTTTCTCTCTCCTCCCCACTCTCCGTCTCTCTCCCTCTCTCACTTTCCCTGCCTCCCTTCCACTCTCTCTTTAAAAATCAATGGAAAGAATATCCTCAGGTGAGGATTAACACACACACAATAAGTGAAAAAGAAAATATTCATTGAATATAAGAAAGAAGGTAAATATTCATGAATATACTGAATTATTAAATATATAAAAAATAGTTCTTCAAGCAAGTTTTTGGTGAATTGGTAAATGTGGTGAACTTGAATATGGTCAGTTTTCAGATTGAATTTGAATGAATTCATCATTTTTGGCACACTGAGTTTTGGCAAACCCTTTTCTCCTGTCCTCTGTACTGACCAGCCCTCATCCCACCTCATCCATCCATCAACACTCAGGACTCAGGGGAGGGCCTAATACCCTCTTGCTGGCCTAATGTGGTATTTGGTCCAGTTAGGTGGGGGTTGGGATAGAGGAACAGGGACAGTACCTCTGGTCTTCCATCTATCCTCTGATCTTTTTTAAAAATTAAAATATAGTTGCCACATAATATTATATTAGTTCCATGTGTATACATAATGATTTGACATTAAGAAGTGATCACCATAAGTCTAGTACCCATCTGTTACTATACAAAGTTATTATAGTATTATTGACTATATTCCCTATGCTGTACTTTACACTCCCATGAATTATTTATTTTATAACTGGAAGTTTGCCTCTCTTAATCCTCTTCACCATTTTCTCCCATTACAGTCTGCCCCCTTACCTGGCATCCATCAGTTTGTTCTCTGTATCTATGAGTCTGTCTCTGTATTGTTTATTTGCTTTTTGTAATATTCCACATGTAAGTGAAAACATACAGTATTTGTCTTTCTCTGTCTGACTTATTTCACTTAGCGTAATCCCCTGTAACTCCATTCATGTTGTCTCAAATGGCAAGATTTCATTCTTTTATTTTTATGGCCAAGTACTGTGTGTGTGTGTGTGTGTGTGTGTGTGTGTGTGTGTGTGTGTTGCATCTTCGTTATCCAGTTATCTGTTGAGGGACACCACCTTTCCTATTGGCCAAGATCTAAGATACACTTGTTGAATGAGCTCCCTGGGATAGGTACTAGCAAAGTGGGGGTGGGGGTGGGGCTTTCTCCTTCATCTTTTGGGTGGGGGTGGGGCTTTCTCCTTCATCTTTTGCCTCATCTCAGGTCAGGTTACATACTTTCTACCTGCACTCTCTCTGACTGCCTTGTTGGGCCTTGCGTCACTATCCTTCCCCACCTCCTTCTTGAACAAAAAATTGCTCACTTCATGCCCAGAACCTTCCCTGGCTTCATGGGCCTTAGAATAGATGCCAAATTCTACAGCCTGGCTAGCATTTGAGCCGCTGCCTGCTCCTCTAGCCTCACTCTGCAGTCCCAACATGAGTCCTTGAGTTGGAACTCAGAGAAAAGCCCCTGTTAGGGAAGCAAGAAGCCAGGGTTCTGGGCTCAGCTCTGCCAGAGACTTGCTGGGTGACCTTGGTTAAGTCAATATACTTCTCTGGGCCTATCTGGAAGACAAGGAGGCTGCGCCAGATAATTTCTCAGAGATGAGTGATCACCTCTGTGTTTGGGGACACATGCGTTGACCAAATAATCATGTGGGTGGATGGACAATGGTTCCACAGACTGCATCAGGGGAGGCGAGAAAATCATGAGTTCTATGGGGCAGAGGCACCTGACTAGGCTCTTAAGTTAGTTCCCACTTAAGGGGGCATGTTTGCCTGGGCCCCACCTGGGTTGCTTCCTTTGGGTATGTTACCTACCTGGGTCCTACAGGCGTTGGCACTGTGAGCTGTGGGCTCCACCACCTCTGCTGGGCCTTCCTGTTTTCACTTTCCATGCTAACCCCTACCTCCCCCAGGAAGCCCTTCCTGGCTAGTCGCCCCATGTCTGAGTTCCTATCACTGTACTGCCTGGGCGAAGAACAGGAGGGCACACATGGCCCCTGCCCCACCCTCCTCATCCACCACACCCCAGAGTTCAGGGTTTCTGTGCTGCCTCCTTTTGCCTTGTGTGTGGGCGATTCTTAACCAACCCCAGGGAACAAGACAGAAGTCAGCTGTACGTGCAGAGCTTTGGACACTGTTGCTGTTTCTCCAAGCTGTATGGTATGTGGGCACGAGGGGAAACCCAGTGGGGCTTACCGTTGTGATGGGGCAAAAACATCCTCCTCAGAAGCTCCGAGACGACGGCCTTCAGACGTTCTTCCTGCAACAGGTGAAAGAGGGCTGGAAGGTCACTTCGGCTGGGTCAGCAGGTTGTGACCTCTGGAGCGGGGGACCCCAGGGGATAGGTACCCACAGGAGATCAGGAGTAGTCCTGGGGACCCCGCTTCTTAAGGCCATTGGAGCCAGGTGAACAGATTAGTGAAAGGACCGGGGAAAGTTGAGGGGCCAGTAAAAGTAGCCTTCACCGCCTGTCTCAGTGATGGTCTTACTGCTTCAGGGCAGCCCAGGGAGAAGGAGACCCCCAGGCCAGAGCTTCACAGGGACCCACTCTGAGTCCAGTCCTGACAGCTGCCTGATGACGGGACAGGAACTGTCTCATTGAGAGAGACAGCAGACCTCCTGTCACCAGGGATGTCAGGGGTCTTGGTCAGGGCTGCCCCACCCCATTTGGACAGATTAGAAATAGACCCCCCTTATTCCTTCCCTCCCTTTCCTTCCTTCCTTCCTTCCTTCCTTCCTTCCTTCCTTCCTTCCTTCCTTCCTTCCTTTCTCTCTCTCTCTCTCTCTCTCTCTCTCTCTCTCTCTCTCTCTCTCTTTCTCTCCCTCCCTTCCACTTCCATCTCCCATTGCTCCCCTGCAGCCGGAATGGAATACCTTGCACATGCCTTCTTCTGTGCTTTGCTCTTACTGTTCCTGTCACCTGGAAGGCCTTGCCTGTGGATCTAAGTTGCATACATTCATTAAGACTCCCTTTCTTGCCCCGCCAGTGTGGCATAGTGGTTGAGTGTCGATCCATGAACCAAGAGGTTGCCTGTTCAGTTCAGATCAGGGCACATGACCCGGTTGCAGGCCTGATCCCCAGAAGGGCACGTGTAGGAGGCAGGCTATCAATGTTTCTCTCTCAGTGATATTTCTACTATCTCTCTATCCATCTCCCTCTCTCTCTAAAAAAATCAATAAAAACATTTAAAAAAGACCCCCTTTCTTCAAGACACACTTTCCCCATCTGTTGGGAGACTATCATGGACATATTCATATCTGTATTGTCTGTGGGATGGGTGGCTTGTCCAGTGCACATCCTGTCCCGCCGTACACGCAGCCCTGGTCTGGATGGCTGCCCTCTGAGGCTGTCTGGGAAGGGATTCCCTGACCGGGGCCTCTCAACCCTGGTCTCCCCAAGTAAGGCTGGAGCAAGACCTGGTAGAACAGGCATGATCATTCTGAAGTGCTTTCTGTACATGTTCTCGTTCAGTCCTTTTGTTGTTTTTCCATCTTGCAGCTTTTCCTGAGAAGGGCTAGAGCATGAGGCTCACAGGCCTGCGGAAGTGGAGGGTGATGGGATGCCCCTAGGGTGGGAGGAGGGGATGGGTCTCCCTCGACGGGCAGGGTAGTGCAGAGCTCTTCCAGTGCAGGAGCAGGGACAACCCCTGGGGGAAGAGACCACGTGCTCCGCCCTGTGGACTCATTCACAGGAATGGCCAGACCAGGCACAGGACTGCAGAAACCCCACACGGCCGCACGTGGGTGCCATGGTTTAGGACGCGGGGCTCAGGGGTGAGGAAACCCAGAGAGGGGGCCCACCACCCTGCTGGAGGCACAAACTGAGT